ACCCTTATTTAGCGGCAATGAAGAGCACTGCATTTCAAAAGAGGTAAAAGGAAATGCTCTTGCATCAAAGGGCAAATCATGCCGACCAGAAACAACAATAACCGCAGAAATTGCGTGTCATGACCTCTCACTATGCAATAAGCAGCAAAAATCACATTTGCTCAGTCAAAACGTTTTGCTCAGAGGTATAATCTACCCGCCAGAGCCGGAAAAAAGTCATTGGAACAAGCAGCAGTGTGTTGCCTACCTACTTCGTTTTTACTCTTGAATGATTTTTTTCATTTAGTTTTTATTCATATATTTATTTGAGAAGTAAAATTTAGCTTTTAATCTGACTTATTGTAATAATAATAAAATCGACACGATGATCCGCTAACCTGATTCCAAGCCATTCCTATTTTTCTTTCGGGATCATTTGCGGTCGACTTTGGGGATCACTTGCGGTCGAGGATCATTTGCGGCCCATTTTGGGGATCATTTGCGGTCTCGGGATCATTTGCGGTTGGGGATCATTTGCGGTACTGTACAGTTGTACTCTGGTAATTTCAAAAGGTTTCGTACTTCATGACCACTGGTCTAGTACTCCAGTGCAAATCCTTCCATCCCTCTGAAAACTATACAGTCAAAATTTGTGTTCCGATCTCTTGTTACATCAACATGATACAGGACACCGGACAAAAGTATTTCTCTCTCCCCTCCCCTCCCTCATTCCCTTGTTCCTATAAATAGCAAACGAGAAAAGCCTGGGGCTAGCTACAAGTGATTAAAAATGGCGGACGAGAAGGCAGCAAGTGGCGAGATGACAGAAGACGAGAAGAAAGCAGATGAGTACAAGTTGAAGGCTAATGAATTCTTTAAAGGTATGGTTTTATAATCAGCGAAGATTTCAATGATATTTAACTTGTTTGAATTTCGAAAAAATAAATTAACTGGTGTCGAAGGAATCAATGACAAGATAGAAGATTCAAGAATATTCTGTATTGGGACGACCAGCCGGCATTTTTACAAAAAATAGAAGGCCTTTCAGTTTTCATTTAAACCGTTTTATTTGGTGACCAAAGCTTAAACTGAAGATTTTCATTAATAAGAGTCCACCACAATCTCTGGTCCAGATATGCGGCCGTCTAGCTGCAGCGTATGGCAGAACTCGACCATTAACGTCTTTTTAATACTAAAATGTGTTCGAGGAATTTTTGAAGTTTCATTTTCGAATTGAAGAAAATGATATTCTTCAAATGATTTTTTATGATCATGATTTCGTTACTTGTTACATTTAGAGGGAAAATATGATGACGCACTTAGTCTTTACACTAAGGCCATTGAACTGAATCCCAGTGTACCGGCATATTATGGAAACCGAAGCTTTTGTTACATAAAGACTGAATATTATGGCTGTGCTCTTGAAGATGCAAACAAGGCTCTTGAACTGGATAAGAAATATGTTAAGGTATGTCAATCAATGTTAATACATGTTAAATGTGTGTTTTAATGCAAGATAATTTATGCTAATGTATACACACTGGTTTTTATGATATTCCATTTGCAAAATCACAAAATCACAAAATGAAATAAATTGCATGCACAAAAGAACTAAAATTAAAGAAATGGTAACAAGGTCAATGCCATGAAAAACTGTAAGAACTAAATGGAGGGCCAAGGCCAAAGGTGCAGGAGAGGTCTACCCTAGGCTGAGAAAACAGCTGATATTTGGCGACACTACCACTGGTTTCCCTGTCAAGTGGCGCCTGAGAAACAAGTGCAGAATTCCATACTGATGACGCGTCACTACCCAGA